GCAAAACCGTCACAATTTCTCCCCCCCTCTCTCTCCTCCGTTTCTTCTCTATTCCTCTCTCTCTCTAGATTTCGTTGCCTAGAAACGTGTTCCTGAGGGAGACGACGATAGTCTCCGGCCTCGCCCAACCCTAGCGCAGCCAAGCCCCAGCCCTCGCGGAAGCAGACGGGCTCCAAGGAGAACGCTCCGCCATCGGATTTATGAGAACATTTTGGTCTAAATTGGGGTGTTTTTGTAGTTTTTGTGATTTAGGTATGAACTCTTTGGGGATCGTAAGGTTCAGTTTCGCAGCCCTTTTTTTCCCTTTTCCTTTTCTTTTTTCTCTCTCATTTCTCTCATTTCTCTCTCCAAATTAAACTCTACCGTGCTCCGCCGAGGAGGAAGACAAGGACTGGAGGTGTGCGCCGGCGTTTGGGTAGAGTAGAGATGCGCCGTCATCGGAGAAAGAAGACGAGGAGTTGACAGAGAGAGCGAAGGGTAAGCTATCGGCTTCTCTTCTTGTCAGGTCAAATTCTTCATGTTTTACCCTAATTTACAATTCTACACAAAGTTCCTTTTTTTTTTTTTTTTTAATTTTCTTGGCCTTCTGGCATGTGAATTCCATGGTCATTGTTATGATTTATTTTATTTTATTTTCAAATTTTGAGGTTGACGTGGAAGCCGTTGCTCAGACTCAGTCCTTTTCTTTTAGTTGCGCGCAGCTCTCTGCTCTGCATGTGGATGTTGCAATTGATCAGATAGAGCTGGGTTAGGCATTTCTTCTTTGATCTTTACTCTTGTCCTCAGACTAATTTTCTTTTCTTTTTTGTTTTTTCTTATTTGTTTGTTTCTCGGGAAAATATTTTCCACACTGATGATTTTGGATCAGTTTGGTAACACTGATGATTTTACATGTTTTTGAGTTTCTGATTGGATGTAACATCACAAACACTTATTTTCATTTTCTGTCAACACTCAAATCTGCAGAGTGGTCGGCTAAAATAAAAAAGAAAAAACTTAATTGACATTATAAAAGTGCTTAAATTTTCTTTTGGCTTATGGGATTTATTTACTTTCTTCATTGGCTTGGTATAGAAGAAATAAGTTTTTTTGTGGGTGATTTCATTATACTGATAGGTGATTCAGTGAATTTTTTGGTTATTAGATTGATGAGCTTCAAAGGTTTTTCTGATACACCTGCCCTGCCAATAACGAGGATTCTTTAGCAAGCCAAAATCCCAATGTAGGAAAAGAACATCTTGTTTCGAGTAAACTTAAAAGGATTCTTTCTTTCTTTTTGCCATGGATTGTGTCTATAATTTTAGAGAGTTTTAATCCTACACACGGAATGGGCTTTCTCTGTGTTTAGGATTAGTTGTAGACCTTATTTTCCACGAACAAATGTTTTTTAATGTTTTTAAGCTCATTGTCCTCTCATAAGAATAGGTAAAACACTATTGTTACGTGTTGGTGAGTTGAAGCCTAGCTTTCTTTTCTTTTTATGCATGGTTTGCAAAGCAAGTTGACAATGGCTGGTTCAAAGGTGTACAGTGATAGATTTAAAAACAATATTCGTGCTCCCATTATCCCCAGGCAAGCTTGCGAATCTATTTCTTTTAGTTTTTTTCTCTTTTAACTTTTTCCCCTCTAAAGGCAATGAAAAGATTGAGTGAAATGACAAATGATTGATGATGCTTGTAACATGAAGGTTAATAGCCCTGAAGTAATTGCAAGTGATAATCCAAAGATTAAAAAAATTGCTTTTTTAGTCATTGCTTAAGGTTGTTTTGATCGTTTTTAATTTTTTTAATTTTTTTTTTATTTTGGGGTAAGGTTTTGTGGAGGATAACTCTTCCTCCATTTTCTTTTCTTCACTATTAATAAAGCTTGTTTCTTTTCATAAAAAAGAAAACACAAGTATTACAACCGGTGCTAATTGCAACTTAGTACTGAAATTTTACTGGTGTTATGGCTGCAGAAGTGATTCTTCTTTTTTTGTTTTTTTTGTTTTGTTTTGGCTTTTACTGGTGTTATGGCTGCAGAAGGGATCCTTCTTTTTTTTTTTTTTTTTCTAAGATTGATAATATGCCGTAACTCACCTTATTTCATTGTTTTATATGCTTCTTTTTTGTTCACATTGATTCACCTTACTTGGATTTGATTCCAATATAGGTTCATTTTTCTAATGGTTCATTTCGCTTTTTTAGTCATTGCTTAAGGTTGTTTTGATCGTTTTTTTATTTTGGGGTAAGGTTTTGTGGAGGATAACTCTTCCTCCATTTTCTTTTCTTCACTATTAATAAAGCTTGTTTCTTTTCATAAAAAAAAACACAAGTATTACAACCGGTGCTAATTGCAACTTAGCACTGAAATTTTACTGGTGTTATGGCTGCAGAAGTGATCCTTCTTTTTTTTTTGTTTTGTTTTGTTTTGTTTTGGCTTTTACTGGTGTTATGGCTGCAGAAGTGATCCTTCTTTTTTTTTTTGTCTTGTTTTGTTTTGTTTTTGTTTTTTTGTTTTGTTTTTTGTTTTTTGTTTTTGCTAAGATTGATAATATGCCGTAACTCACCTTATTTCATTGTTTTATATGCTTCTTTTTTGTTCACATTGATTCACCTTACTTGGATTTGATTCCAAGATAGGTTCATTTTGCTAATGGATTACTACCTTTCCTACATCAGGTATGACAAAATTTTTCTAATAAGTTTCTTCTTGATGCACATGCAGCATTCTCCAAGTGAAATATAACTCAAGTTATAACTCAACCTTGTCATGTACACAAATGAAATATATTTGTGGTTTTTGGTTTGGTTTGATGATAATTCTGTATTTGATTAGAAGTTAATTCTATACATACTCATACCTTTGATCTGCTACGGTCCTACTAGCTAGCATTTGCTTTAAAAGGAAAATAAGAAAGAATTTACCAAAAAAAGGGGTCAAAATAAGAAAGAACATTCAAAGATGCTAAGTCTTGAAGAGCTTATTTGGATAGCTTTCTTATTGCCTGCAGGTACAAAGGAGTGGTTTATTTGGTTCCTCATGTTGGCAAGCTAGGTATAAATCAAAGGTAAGCATGGCGATAGAAGATTTTAGTGCAAGTCTGGTGGAGATGAGTAAGCCTAGTGGAGATGAGTATTGTTTATAGATATATTCTTTAATACCTTTTTTTAGCTTGTTGATACATTTTTTTTAACATGCTAACTTCTCATTGTTCGATAAGTAAAGAAAGGAGTTGGCAAACAAAAGCTAACTACTATAAAAGTCATGAAAACAAATCATATACAATATTAACCGGATATTACAATCTTTTATAATGTATTTTTATTAATTCTTAACAGTACATTGATTAGAAAACCCATCATGTAAGTCAAACATTGTGAGCCCTTTCATTATTCTATAAATTGCAGTAGTATATTGTCTTTTAAGAGTCAAGTTGATGCCCTTACCTCATTTCTATTTGTTCTTTTTAAACTTTGTCATCAACCTTACTGTCCAAATACTATATTCACGTATAATTACATGATGAATCAGGAGATTTAGCAGCAACAATTTTTGGAACTAATGCAGAAAAGTTTTTACTTTGCACTTGAATTGATCTGATGGAACATACAATTGAGGTACATTGTTATATTCTTTGTTACTACATTTATTATACTTATACTACAACTGAGGTTCAATGATTTTAGCTATTCTATGGGTTATTTGGTGGGAGAGGAATCGGAGAGGAATCAGAGGATTTTCGAGGGAAAAGAAATGATATTTGAGGATTTATTTGAGAAGGCAAAATACGTAGCTTCTACATGGGCTTCAACAGATCCATCATTTATTCAATTCTCAGTATCCTTAATTCTGTTAAGCTGGGATGACGTGCTAAGATAGTCTTTTTAGACTTGTCTTGTATTTAGTTCAATAGCTTTTTGTTTGTTCTCCTCTTGTTAGTTATTTTCTTTTGTGTTTCAGATGGCTTTCTCATCCATCTGAGAACTTCATTTGTAATTTATTATATTAATGAAGCTCTTTGTTTCTTGTCCAAAAAAAAAAAAAAATACAAATTTCCTACTATTAGCTTTTCCTCTATTAGGATGGAATATCAGTTATCCAGAATTTCGTTACTACACCCAGCGCTACAGAGCATTGTATACATATTAAAATATTAAAAGTTCTAACCAAGACTATGCATGAGCTGATTATAGACATACGGTTAGTCAATTGCTCGAGGCCTCTGAAGTTCGAATTTGAAATGTCAACAAAGTCCACAAGTTTGATGATGTAAATAGTGGAAAGAGGACCTTCAACATAAATCTTTTGCTATATAACATGTCAACTAACTCCACAGGTTTGGTATTAATGGTTGTGTTTGGGATTTTTTAGCCTCTGACTGTTTTATGGTTGTTTATTTATTTATTTCTTTTTTTGGGAAATTATTTTTTTATTATGTACAAATTGATGTTGTATGTTGCTCGAGGCCTCTGAAGTTCCCATTTATTTATTTATTTTTTAGCCAAAGTTCATGAATTGTGCGTCTAGGTTTTCTTCTCCAAAATTTTCAGTCTTCTACATTGCCCAATTCTCTTTCATAACCTCCTGAGTCTGTTTTTGCTTACTACTCTTCTTTATTCTTTGTTCATAATATACCTAAATCCTGTTTGTTCATCAAAGTCTGTGCTGATATCTTTTTAAATTTGGGCTAGTTTTTGCCTTCTGTTTTGAGGAGCAAGTCAAACCTGACATAATTTTGCCTTTGAAAAATTCCTCACTTAGTTTGGGCTTGAAACTACAATTCCCTGACTGTTCTGTTTTTGGGCCTGTGAGATTTAATTTGTTATGAATTAGCCCTAATGTTTTTGTGGCCCTACTTACATCCTTATTAGCAGCCCTACTATTATCCTCTAACTCCACTACCGATTCCTCACTCTCCTCTTCCAACCAATTTAGCTTGACTGTAAAAGTTGTCCGCAAGGCCAAATGGTTTTGCCACCGAAATTTTCTATTTTTCTTCCATATTCAGGCATCGTAAGATGGCTCTATCCGCAGCTAATTGCGAAACCTGCAACTCTCTTCAACTTTATGCTGAAATCTCGATTCACCTCACTCCAAGGTTGAGCCGAATTGTCTCTATATATCACCACTGTTAACTCAGTCTTCCTTTCAGACTCCTTGGAGACCACTTGATACTGAGTTGTTTCTCCTACAGCTTTCCTTTGTCTTGGCCTAGTATTAACTTTTGGAGCCCAAGACTGACGATTCCAACTCTTCTGATTGTTAATAAACTGCCTTTGTTGTTGATGAGTGTTCGCATTGTTGGAGAGATGTCTTGTATTCTCGAACTTTTCGTGAGAACCAGTAGTCAATCGCTGATTTGTCTTCTTGTTGAACTTCCAGTTAGCTCATTGCTTGCCTCTTCACCCAGCTTTGGTCTACCTAACATGATATCCAAACGACTCTTTAGCAGCCTCCATCCTTCTTTTCCCTCGTCGTCTGGAATTATCACACTCCTAAGGCCACCTCCCGGGATTTTTGTAATCTGCAAGAATTCTCCACGCGAGTTCTTCCTTATTTCTACTAGTAAAGTATAAGAAGAATTTGTAAACTTGCGGACATATCCCTGACCTACCTCCGAATTGCAAATTAAGTCCACTGTGTCATTAAAGCGACTATGATAAATTAAGAAAGAACCTTTGATTGTATTTGGATTCCTCTAATCTAATAAAACCACCATCTCTCCCCAACGCTAATCTAAAGGATTTTGAACCGATTCTAAACTCATGATAGAATCGATTACGTACTGAATTTGCCATTTCCATCCGACAAAGATTAAACAACAACTGATAACTCTTAGAATTCTAGAGAGAAGATAGAGCTTCTCACTCTAGACATTCAACCCTTTCAACTTTGCATTGTCTTGATAGTTAAACGTCTACAATTGCTCATCCTTTTAATTTTCTATCCCTTATAGTTTCCCTTTCCCTCCCATTTTCTTTCCTTGTTACCAAACAGAGTGTAAAATCATTATTCATCACAAGATACGAGTAAATTGAAAACGGATAATATGACCCCAACCAAAAATCTAACAACACAATAATAAATTTGATAAAGATTAGTTATGTCATTATGGTCACTGTAATGCATCTTAAATTCAGGGAAAAACGTCCCCAACCAAAAATCTAACAACACAATAATAAATTCGATAAAGATTAGTTATGTCATTATGGTCTAACTGTAATGCATCTTAAATTCAGGGAAAAACGTTTTTCTATGAAGCCATGGCTCTGTTGAGTTTTTTTCATCTCCAATTTATATCTATGTTGATGTTTTGTGTTTGTTTTACGTCAATTGTTGTCTTTATGTTAAAATTTTTCATTAAAAAATGAATTTTGATTATTTTCTTTGTGTCGTATCCTTTTTTATTTTTGATTTGTGTTTGTGTTAAAATTTCTTCTTATATGTGCTGCTTGAGAAGAACTTGAATTTTGATTCTTTTACTGACATTCCTCTCTTTATCTTATTATTTTCCTATTTTCTAATTGGACATTAAAACTATCCATAGAAGTCTTAAAAGAGCTTCTTGTGATGATTTAAACTGTATTTCAATTTGTGGCCGGTTCATAAGTTTCCTTTGTGTATCTCTCATATTTTTAAAACTCTTAAAGATGTTTCTTTGTTAATCTCGTCGGCGAAGAATTCAGCGTTTGAAAATTATGATGTAGCTAAGGTACTTCCTTGTCTTTATGAGATATGTTTCTTCTTTCCATCTTTTGTTTTGGTTTATGACATAGTATTCTCGTCGGCGAAGAATCCAGCGTTTGAAAATTATGATGTGGCTAAGGTACTTCCTTGTCTTTCTGAGATATGCTTCTTCTTTTCATCTTTTGTTTTGGTTTATGAGATAGTATTCTTACTATTGTGCACTATCTATTAGTTTAAATACTTGTGATTGTTTTTTTAATTTTGTACTCCATCTGAATTCACGTTATAGATTTTTATGAAATCTATTATATGTAACTTTATTTGCTTGCTATTTGTTCCTTGGTCTTGTCATAGTCTTTTGGCGACGATGTTGATTCTAGTGATTCTGATACCTCCAATTCAAGTCTGAGCTCTCAAGATAGGGAATAGTCGCGGTCGTTGCCGGTAGCAAAGCTTCGCACCAATCGGTTTCTATGAATGTTCTGGAAACTTGTACCACAAGAACCAATTTTCTTCACAAACGCTTGTGGAAAGACTCTAGAAACCAAGCTCAACATTATATTTGAGGTCAGACTTTTCATTGTAATTTTAGGGTTTTTATTTAATTTTTGATGTTTTGATTTTTCGTCATGTTTCCTCATGATAATCCCGGGATTTAAGGTGGGAAAATATTTTAAAAAATTACTAATTCTTATTGTTATGTTTTAATTTGAGAATTTTTGGTTTAACCATTTGATTTTAATGGATTTTAAAGGGGATTTTGATTCTAAGTTGGTTAGTGATCTTTAGAGTTTGATATATCTTATAAATTTTAAAGGCAAGCCAGTTCTTTCTCAATTAACCACATGGTATTAGAGCGGGAGGTCTTGAGTTCAAACCCCTGTAATTGCACTCTTTATCCCTATTTAAATTGTCATCATGTGTTGGGTCTTTAATATATCTCTAGCTTAAATATTCACGTATTGGACTTTCTAATTAATTTACCCACACGATTGTCCATTGTCCAGCCCACACATGAGGGGGAGTGTTAAAGTATTTGTAGATTTTCAGAGAAGGAAATTGCCCTCTTTTTCTCTCTTATTAATCTCATTGAATCGGTACAATATATATATATATATATATATACTACAACTATAAATTCTAGGTTAAAGAGAATCGGGAAAATATCCCACTAAACTAGGAGATAAGAGATAGAGGAAAACTGAATTTAAAGATAGGAAATCAAATCCTAATCCTAATATCAATCCGAACTATATTGAGGATAATTCCTAATTTGAATTTTGAATTTCAACACATAGGCACATCATAAAGAAACTGTGGCATGTGTTTGTGTTCTTGTCTGCTTCTATTATCATTCTTGAGTATTTGGCTCTTTGGTTGAATCTGATATCTCCTGCTATGGGTGAGGCACAAGTCCCTTGTAATGACTGTTGGAGAGCTTCTGATGTTTATTTCAAATACTGCAAGAAGTGCTGGCTAGGTATTATCTCCCTCAAGAAATGTTTACTATGCAGGTTAACTTGAAAATTTTATTTTTGTTTTCAGTGGTGGCTGTTGTTTTCAGTAGTGTACAGTGTAGTCATTTTAAACGTTTATCGTTTTCAGTTATTGTTGTTTTATTCTAGTTTTTCATAATGTTCATAGTTTTACAGAATGGCTTGTTTTTCGTCATTTCTTTGCATTTGATGTCGTTTTTAGTATCATCATTTCATCGTTCTTTCCCTCTCATTGTAGTTTCTTTTTTTTTTTTCCTTCCTTGTCCCCTCCATAAAATGTTAATGCGAATGCAGATGGATAGTTTCTATCCAATATAAATTCTTGTAAAATACTTCAATCTGCATTCTGCACTATTTTTCAAATACAGTAGCATATATACACCTCTACAAATTTGAGAGATCTATAATAGTAAAACGGACAAAAAAAAAAATTCCTTAAAAACATGTGATAAGTGATACCAACTATATCCAGCAGGTGATAACTCAAGCAACCTGTTTGACTTTTTGTAGGAACCATAGTTGAAGATCCCCGAATGCTTCTGAGCTACTTTGCAGTGTTCATGTTTTCATGTTTCAAGCTCCGAGCAGACCGTTTGTCCAGTCCTTATGGATCACAAACATATCGGCAAATGATATCAGATTGCCACAAAGCATCTGTCCTAAGTGATCTCTCATTTGAAACAAAAGGCTTGTGGACATTCCTTGACTACCTCAGGCTTTATAGCTATTGTCACTTACTAGATTCAGTTCTTGCCTTGATCTTGATCACGGGGACCCTCGAATATGACATCCTTCACCTTGGCTACCTTGGATTTGCACTCGTATTTTTCCGAATGAGGCTTGAGATATTGAAGAAGAAGAACAAAATCTTCAAGTTCTTACGAATATACAACTTTGCTCTAATAGTCCTTTCTCTTGCTTACCAATCTCCTTTCGCTGGAGACGCCGTTGAGGGGAAATGTGACGCAACAGATTATATTAGTGAGGTGATTGGTTTCCATAAGTATGACTACGGATTCCGAATTACTTCAAGATCTGCACTTGTTGAAATTGTTATATTCATGTTGGTTTCACTTCAGTCGTACATGTTTTCATCAAAGGAGTTTGATTATGTGTCAAAATATCTAGAGGCAGAGCAAATAGGTGCCATCGTACGCGAGCAGGAGAAGCGAGCTGATTGGAAGACGGAACATTTACAACACATACGTAAGTCCGAAGAGAAAAAGTCCCTCAGAAATATGCAGGTGGAGAAGATGAAGTCAGAGATGCTCAATCTTAAAATCCAACTTGACAGCATGAGCACTACTTCTAACTTTGGTAACACTTGCGCGGAAAGTGAAGGAATACTTATAAGGGGAAGAAAATATTCCATGGATTCATATGGGCTGAAGGGTATTCTTGCAAGTGAAGAAAAAGATTTAAAGAGGCAAGATCTTAGTCTGAGCTCTGATGCTATGTCAGCTTTTGATCCAATTGAATCTCCAACAAGTGAAGGGACTATGGAATCCACTAAGCATTTGGTGGATACACTTCATGAGATAACCGAGCTAAAGTCAAAATCCTCTCATTCTAACTTTTTTGATTCAGAAAGAAGGGATAATGGAGAAAAGTCTAAAGCAAAGGAAAACCCCATAATCTCCGCAGTTCATCTTATTGGCGACGGAGTTTCTCAAGTTCAATCACTCGGTAATCTGGCAGTCAACAATCTGATTCATTTCTTGAACATAGAAAAGAAAGTGCATGATTCGGATGAGCATTCTTCTGAGGATGAGGTGTATTATGAAGTAGAAACTCAGAATATAGGATGTCAACAAGCAGATCTAACAGCTTCAGTACTACAATCCAGTAGTGAAAAGATCATGTCTGATGCTACATACTCTCAAATCGGTGTAATCCTCCGTTACATGTGGGCTAAAATGAGATCGAATAATGACATTGTATGTTACTGCTGCTTTGTCATGATGTTCTTGTGGAACTTCAGTTTGCTTTCAATGGTCTATCTCATGGCTCTCTTCTTGTATGCTCTCTGCATAAACACCGGCCCAAGTTACATGTTCTGGATAATTATGCTAATTTATACTGAGTTTTGTGTGTTACTCCAGTACTTATACCAAATCATCATCCAACATTGTGGATTCACTCTTCATGTAAGCTACCTCCAGGAGTTAGGATTTCCTTCTCACAGGATTGTGTCATCTTTTGTTATGAGCAACTTGCCTCTTTTCTTGGTGTATTTGTTCACTCTTATACAAACCTCCATAACAACAAGAGATAGTGATTGGGCAAATATGGTTACAGAATTCAGCTTTAATATGAGAAAGAATCATTTCCAGCAAGATTTTGTCAAGAGTTATAGCTGCAGTGAGAGAATACAGAGATTGTTTTTGCCTGTGAGAAATGCCATAAAGCAGGTTACTAGGAGCCTCTTCAGATACTGGAAATCACTCACAGAGGGAGCAGAAACTCCACCTTACTTTGTGCAGCTATCTATGGAAGTCACAATGTGGCCTGAAGATAGTATCCAACCAGAGAGAATTGAGTCAGGAATCAACAGGTTGCTCAAGATCTTACATGATAATAGATGCAAAGAAAAGAACATGAACCGATTCCACTCACCAAGTCGGGTTCAGGTTCAGAGCATTGAAAGGAGCCCAGAGAATTCTGATGTAGCTTTAGCTGTTTTCGAGGTCGTATATGCCTCGCCTCCGACAGAATCTATCTCAACAGAATGGTACAAATCTCTAACTCCAGCTGCTGATGTTGCTGGTGAGATCTTGACAGCTCAACGTGATGGCATTCTAAATGAAATCAGATTTCCATATCCAATACTCTCTGTGATTGGCAGTGGGAAAAGAGAGATAGACTTGTATGCCTACACATTCTGCGCAGATTTGGCTGTGTTCTTCTTGGTTGCCATTTTCTATCAAGCAGTCATAAAGAACAAAAGTGAGTTCCTTGAGGTCTATCAGCTAGAAGATCAATTCCCAAAAGAGTTTGTATTTATTCTGATGGTATGTCTCCTTTCTTTACAGCTCATAATACACATAATCATTAAAAAAGGTAATTTCACCTCTTTATTTTTCAACCAATCATAGATTTACAAGTCAACTCTAGTTTCTACAAATTATAACACAACACAATCTTGCATGTTAAAACCTAACTTGTTAAAAACCACTTCTTATGACAATTATTGCTTCTCTTAGTCATGTTAGTGTTTTGCAACTATACTATGTTCTGACGTTTGCATTTTGCAGGCAATTTTTTTCTTAATTGTGCTCGATCGGATCATTTATCTTCGATCATTTGCCACGGGAAAAGTGATCTTCTTTCTGTTCAACCTTTTTCTCTTCACATATTCAATCACAAGGTATGCTTGGAACATAGAGCTTTCACATGGATATGCTGGAAGATTAGCACTGCGTGTTATATATATGACAAAAGCAATTTCTCTGGCTCTTCAAGCCATACAAATTCGATTCGGGATGCCACACAAGAGCACTCTATACAGGCAGTTTTTGACAAGTAGTATTTCCCAGATTAACTTTCTTGGTTTTAGACTTTATCGTGCTTTGCCATTCCTTTATGAATTGCGATGTGTACTTGATTGGTCATGCACAACTACGTCTTTGACCATGTATGACTGGTTGAAAGTAAGTATTATTTACATTCTTCATTATGCTAATAATATGGTTACTTTCTTTTAATATCGGTATATATTCTTCAAATAATTCATGTGTTTGTTTACTTATGGATCTCATGTGTACATCTTTCTTAGTTGGAGGACATTCACGGTAGCCTATTTCTTGTCAAATGTGATGTGGATTTGAATAGAGCTAGCCATCAACAGGGCCAAAAGCAAACCAAAATGACAAAATTCTGCAATGGCATATGCTTATTTTTCATATTGATGTGTGTTATATGGGCTCCAATGCTGGTAAGAATCTTCAAAAACATGCCAAATCATTAGAAAAAAAAATCAAATTTTAAATTTTCAGAGTTTCTTAGCCAAATACACATGATATACAATCCAGTCAATATAAAAACTCCAAGACCAAATTCTCAAGTCACCTTATTTTCTTTTCTTTGTTCTTTTTGCCATTATTTCTTTTTATTCTACACAGATGTATAGCAGTGGAAACCCCACAAACATAGCAAACCCCATTAAAGATGCCAGTGTAAGAATCGACATAAACACTGTCGGTGGAAGGCTGATATTGTTCGAGACAACTTTGTGTGAAAAGCTCTCATGGAACGAGCTTGACATGAACACTAAGATCATAAAGGAGAAAATTTTCTCCGATGTCATTATTCATGGAATTAATTAACCATGACATAACCATGTGGTTTTCAGTCTTCCATGTCCTGAATTTTGGATCCTTCTTATCAGGAATTGAGACTTCGCCAGTGAGATACTCATCCTTGCCCTTGCCGCATATGAACATCATCACTGATTGAGACCACTGGAGGTAATTGTGGCCATTGAGTTTGTGACCTGTGATAAGGATAGATGAGCCTTCCGTTCCACCATGCTGATTGCTGACTGGGGACATATCCGGATTGGAGTTAACTTCCGAGGTTGAACTAGATCTCTCGGTTGCCATACCGTATTTGGTCATGGGTAGGGTTTGAACGGTAGGGGATTGAAGAGGCCTGTGTTTTTCAGGCGGCGCTAAGGAGATGAATTGATACTAGGGCTTCTAAAGGCTCTGATATCATGTAGATTTTCAGAGAAGGAAATTGCCCTCTTTTTCTCTCTTATTAATCTCATTGAATCGGTACAATATATATATATATATATATATACTACAACTATAAATTCTAGGTTAAAGAGAATCGGGAAAATATCCCACTAAACTAGGAGATAAGAGATAGAGGAAAAACTGAATTTAAAGATAGGAAATCAAATCCTAATCCTAATATCAATCCAAACTATATTGAGGATAATTCCTAATTTGAATTTTGAATTTCAACAGTATTAAACTATTGTCGGCCCACCTCCTAATAGCTTAAGCTTTTGGGATGGATTAGTAAACCCACATGGTATCAGAGCCTTCCAAAAATTCTCTCTGATGACCAAATACGGAATGGCCACGAGAAGCAAAAGGGGTCGTCATCCGAAGTCACTTTAGGCACTGAAGTCTCGAACACCAGCACCTATGGTGTTGTAGAAGGCGTTCATTACAGGGCACAAACTGAATGGGAACAATTATCTTCAATGGTCGCAGTCCGTTATGATGTACATATGCGGAAAAGGGGAGGACGAATATCTCACAGGCAAGATCATCCTTCCCTTGGAAGGAGATCCCAAATTCAGACTCTGGAAAACAGAGAACAATATGGTCATGTCATGGTTGGTAAATTCAATGACCAATGAAATAGGTGAGAATTTTTTGCTCTATAGCACTGTGCGTGAAATATGGGATGCTGCTAAAGAATTTTACTCGAGCAAGGAGAATGCCTCAATAATTTTCGAGATCGAGACCACAATCCATGATCTTCGACAAGGAGATCTTTCTGTCACCCAATTCTACAATATCCTCACTCGTCATTGGCAACAACTAGACGTGTCTGAGGATTATAAGTGGGGCTGTCCGGATGATGCAAAAAGGTTCAGAGAGATCGTGGAAAAGAAGAAAATATTTAAGTTCTTGATGGGACTCAACAAGAACTTGGATGAAGTTCGAGGAAGAATATTAGGGACAAAACCCCTACCAAGCATTCGAGAAGTTTTTTTTGAAGTACGCAGAGAAGAAAGCAGGAAAAAGGTGATGCTCGGAGAATCATCCACCGCTGCCCCAATCACTGATAACTTATCTGCCCTAGCCGTTCGAGGAGCACAGAACATTAACTACGACAATCGGCGGAAGAAGGGGAGACCATGGTGTGATCATTGCCGGAAAACAGGACACATACGTGAGACATGTTAGAAGCTACACGGCAAACCTGCAGTTTGGAAGCCTTCAAGACTTGCTATGGACAAAGATAGCCGCGGAAATCATGTCGCAGTTGAAGAAGGAAATTCTACTTCCACGGAATCCAATCCTTTCAACAAGGAACAGCTTGAAACACTACAAAAGATGTTCTCACAAGCAGCGACTACTCAGGGTAACATTGGAACCAGATCTTTGGCACACAAAAGGTAACTACTTGAGTGCTCTTTCTGTTAATTCCGAAAATAAGGGAACATGGATAGTAGACTCTGGTGCGTCTGATCACATGACAGGAGACAACCATTTTTCACCATTACAGCCCGTGTCAAGATGATCTTACAATAAAAATTGCTTATGGGTCACTCTCTAAAGTGGTTGGAATAGGTTCTATTATTCTCTCAGAGAACCTAGAGTTGAAAACAATACTTCATGTTCCTAATCTGGACTGCAATCTTTTGTCAGTGAGTAAACTCTCTCAAGAACTTAACTGTGTTGCTAAATTCTCCTCGGATTTGTGTGAATTTCAGGTTTTGGATTCGGGGAAGATGATTGCCAGTGCTAGGGTGAGCTCGGGACTTTATCTTTTCAAAGTTGATAGACCTCCTAGAAGACAAACTCATACCGTAGGCTTAGTTTCTGTGGGAAAATTCAATAAAGATAGTGCAATCATGTTGTGGCACTATCGTTTAGGTCATCCAAACTTTTTGTATCTCGAGAAATTGTTTCCTTCCTTATTCATAAATAAAAATCCGAAGTTGTTTCAATGTGAAGTGTGCCAATTCTCAAAACATGTTCGTAATTCTTATCATATTCAGCCATACAAAGCATCTCATCATTTTTCCATGATTCATAGTGATGTATGGGGGCCATCTAGAATACAAAATATCACTGGTACAAGGTGGTTTGTGTCTTTTGTTGATGATCATACGCGAATCACCTAGTTGTTTCTCATGAAAGAAAAATCTGAAGTTGGGCAAATTTTTAGAAATTTCAACACTATGATTCAGACACAATTTGCCACAAAGATGCAATGTTGAAAACTGACAATGCAAAAGAATATTTCGAGACAACTCTAGGAGTATCTTGGGAGCTAGGGCATTATTCACTAAAGTTCTTGTATTGACACACCCCAACAAAATGGGGTGGCAGAAAGGAAAAACAGACACATTCTAGAGGTTGCCCGTTCACTTATGTTCACTACACATGTTCTAAAATATTTCTGGGGAGAGGCTGTTTTAACAGCTACTTACCTAATAAATAGAATGCTTCCCGAGTCTTGAAGTTTCAAACACCACAGCATGTCCTTCACTCTTTTCTAAATACTCGCCTAACCACTCTTCCTCCTAAAGTATTCGGTTGTTCAGTGTTTGTCCATATTCATGCCCAACACTGAAGCAAACTTGATCCTAAGGCTCTCAAATGCATATTTGTAGGATATTCCTCAAACCAAAAAGGGTATAAGTGTTATTCTCCGATTACTAAAAAATTCTACAACTCCATGGATGTCCCATTCTTTGAAAATCAACCCTTCTATCCCAAAACTGATATTTGGAGGGAGAATTTTACTCAAGAATACCAGTTTTGGGATATTGATGCATTGGAGTCATCTGATGGCCATAACACAATTCCATTCGAGTCATCCCAATCATCCCAAACACGAACCGAGTTTGACACTCGAACTCCAAATCTTGTCCAGCCTGAGTCTGACAATCTTGTCCAGCCCGAGTCTGACACTCAAACCCCTCATAGTTCCACTCCAAACCCCTCATAGTTCCACTCCAACTCAGCCTGCAGACACTAAAGAGTTACGTGTCTATACTAGGAGGAACAAGAATCAAGAAGATAAAGCACTGCAGCCAACTGATCACGGTCATGAATCCAACCCGGTTCTGGAATCACAAAATTCACTAGGTAACACTAGTCTTGAACATGCTCCTAGTAATCAACCTGATGAAGATATTGATGATAGACCCATAGCCTTGAGGAAAGGCACACAGTTATGTACTAATCACCCCATTTATAATTTTATTTCGTATGGGAAATTGTCTTCCAATCACCGTGCCTTTGTTAGCAATCTTGACAGAATACAGGTTCCTAGTTCTATACATGAGGCTCTTCTCATACCAGAATGGAAGGAGGCCATTTTGGAAGAAATCCGAGCCCTGGAGAAGAATGGAATGTGGGTAATGTCTGAATTACCATCAGAAAAACATCTTGTAGGATGTAAGTGGATATTCATTGTCAAGCATAATTCAGATGTGAGTATCAACAGATATAAAGCTCGCTTGGTTGCTAAGGGTTTCACAATATCTTATGGGATTGATTACCAGGGGACGCTTGCACCAGTAGCTAAACTCAACACTGTTCGAGTATTACTCTCACTCGAAAAGAATATTGGGGAATAATAATTTTATTCATTGAGTAGACCTTTATACAATTACAACCTAAGTAAAAAAGGAAACAAATCACTAATTCTAGGAAGTAAATAACTGCTAACAATACTTTCCTATATATACAGATTTGACACCTAGCTAATGATACAATCACATCTTACACGGATTCTTTCCTAAAACAGTTTATTTTTTTTCCACACTCCCCCTCAAGCTGGTCTGAAAATATCTTTCATAACTAGCTTGCTTACTAAAAAATCGAACTGTTTTTTAGATAGTCCCTTTGTGAGCAAATCAGCTACTTGATCTTCGGTCGGAACATAGATCATGCATACCAAACCGCCTTCTATCTTCTCTTTGATAAAGTGCTTGTCCACTTCAACGTGCTTCGTGCGATCGTGGAGAACTGGATTGTGAGCAATAGAAATAGCAGCCTTATTGTCACAATACAACTTCATAGGTAGATTTTCTGAAGCTCTCAACTCCTGTAATATTCTCTTGATCCATATTACTTCACAAATACGAAGGGCCACCACCCTGAACTCAGCCTCAGCACTACTCCTTGCAACCACATTCTGCTTCTTACTACGCCAGGTTACTAAGTTACCACCAACATAAGTACAGTACCCAGAAGTAGATCTCCTATCAGCTATACTCCCAGCCCAATCTGCATCGGTGTAGGCTTCAATCTGAAGGTGTCCTCAGGATTTAAAGAAAAGCCCTTTACCTGGTGTCCCCTTTAAATACCTTAAAATCCTGTAAACGGCTTCAAAGTGTTCAGGACCAGGTGAGTGCATAAACTGGCTAACTGCACTTATGAAAAAACTATGTCAGGACGCGTGTGTGATAGATAAATAAGTCTGCCAACAAGTCTTTGATATCGCTCCTTATCTTTTACATCTTCAGCGTTGGCTGGTTGAAGTTTCACATTTGGTTCCAAAGGAGTTTCTGTCGGTTTACAGCCCAACATACTTGTCTCTTCAAGTAAATCAAGTACATACTTACGTTGATTTACAATGATGCCTTCCTTAGACCTTGCAAACTCCATTCCAAGGAAGTAGTTTAACACTCCTAGGTCTTTGATTTCAAATTCTTCGGCTAATCTCCTCTTCAGTCTATCTATTTCACCACAATCATCTCCTGTCAAGATGATATCATCAACATACACAATTAAGATGGCAACTTTACCTTCTCTTGAATGCTTGTAAAACATGGTGTGGTCCGCTTGGCTCTGTATAAATCCGTACCTCCGCACTGCCTTGCCAAAACGATCAAACCATGCTCTAGGTGACTCCTTAAGTCCATACAGGGATTTCTTTAGTCTGCAGACTCATTTCAAATTCTTCGGCTAATCTCCTCTTCAGTCTATCTATTTCACCATAATCATCTCTTGTCAAGATGATATTGACGCAAACTAGGGATGGAAAAATTATCTGTATATTTTTCGTATATTGAATAATTACATAGCTAAGTATTTATAGAGTTTACATAGAGAGAAAATAGGAAAGGATATCTACCACAATCCTTGAAAATCAGGAATTGTTAAAACTAATTTTCCTAATTTATTTCCTGCCTAAAATACCTCTCGACACTCCCCCTCAAGTTTGAGGAATGAATATCTTCCATTCCCAGCTTGGCTACAATCTCATGAAAATTAGAACCCTTTAATCCTTTTGTTAAAACGTCAGCCAGTTGACCTCCCGAAGGAACATTGGACATACATATGAGTCCTTCCAACTTCTCTTTGGTGAAGTGTCTATCAATCTCAATATGTTGTCCTATCATGTTGAATAGGATTGTGAGCGATGTTGATGCTGACTTCTTGTCGCAGTAGAGCTTCATAGGTTCCTCCCACTTGACTCTCAAATCATCTAGAATAATTTTCAGCCAAAGTAGTTCACATATCCCTTGAGCAACAGCCCGAAATTCAGCTTCTGCAGATGATCTAGCCACAATATTATGCTTATTGCTCCTCCATGTTATCAGGTTACCACCAAGAAATGTACAATAGCCAGTTGTTAATCTTTTATCCACTATAGAACCCGCATAATCTGCATCTATATATGCTTCTAACGTCAAAATAGAGTTCCTTTTGAACAAGATCCCTTTTCCGGGACTGCCCTTCAAGTAGTGCAGTATTCTATGTGCAGCTTGAAGGTGAGGCTCCCTCGAATCGTGCATAAATTGGCTGATCACACTCACTGAGTAAGCTATATTAGGCCGAGTGTGTGTGAGATATATGAGTCTCCCAACTAGCCATTGATACATTCCCTTGTCCACTGGTGGTTCCTCTCTTGCTTCACTTAATTTCTGGTTTGTGTCCATAGGAGTGGCAGCTGGTTTACAATCAGCCTTTCCAGTTTCTATTAAAAGATCAGTCGCATACTTCCGTTGGGATACAAAGATGCCTTGTCTAGAGTATGCCACCTCAATCCCAAGAAAATACTTCAATCTCCCAAGTTCCTTTATCTCAAATTCCTGAATCAGTCTTCTCTTCAAGTCATCTTTCTCCTTCTCATCATTCCCCGTTATGATGATATCATCAACATACACAAGCAAGGCAGTCACTCCCCCTGAGGCCGAATGTTTGAAGAACAACGTGTGATC